CCACACCAGAGCTTCGACTTTGCGTCTCTCCGGCCAAAGGCGAACGCTCTAACCATTGAGCCACGAGTCCGCCGTCTTGCCTGTTTTTGATCGGGATTATATATTAGTGGGCCAGCAAAAAAGCCTTCGTTGATGTCCACTGTTTTTGTTGGTAGTACATTCTTAGCATGTTATTCCCATTCAAAGGTTCGTTATCATACTCGAAAAACATCTTGTACTCATACTGTCTAGAAGTAAATTCTTAACATGCTACCGAATTAAGGCGTGATTGACAGATGGCTTTTGTTAGGCTTTGTTCAGTCAAATTAACCGACTATATACTAAGCAGGCCAGTCAATCTACGAAGCTAAATATACTTTCAGGAAGACGAACACATTTTTAGGCAGTAAGGAGCCAGGTCTTTAGAGGCACTTAGTATAAGGTACACAGAGGCTGTTCCTGCGTAATGTGCCTTATACTCTCGTATAAAAAGAGACTAAGCTCATTATGGAAACGTATAATCCACGTACCTGCGGCTGCAAGACTGGTGTCTCCTGTGGATTGTCTGAAAAAGAAATGGAAAATATACGCCATTCATTCCATATGCCGCAAGGACTACATTAAAAAACATGTCCATACAAACCTTAGCAAAATGCAGAGGAATTTCACCATGACAGACCGCTGTCCAATATGTTTCATTTAAAGTTATATGGCATAGAGACTGGGATAAATATGGAGCAGGCTGCAGTTCATCTCCTGTTATTCAGTCACAGAAAATCATATGGAATTACATACTCAGAAAATTTTACTTCTATTTTTAGAATAAATTTGGAGTAAATTGACGAGAGTACCATTATGGTTTTTAAAAAGACCATTCAAATTAAACTAAAGGTCAAGTCTTCGCCTCGCCTCCTGTTCAAACTGTATGCAGTTGAAAGCATCCTGCGAAATATTTTGTCCTCAAGTACTTTTTGATTTCGCCCTTTTCTGTCAGTTATTTTGTGAACGTACGTTTCAAATTCAACCAAAAATAGCTTATATTAGTGCAAGGCCTACCTTTGATTTCAAAAAGTGGCGTTTTCTGTTCTTCCTCTTTTATCCTTTCTTCTTTTTCGCTTTTACATTTACGAGGACTGCACTGACTGCTCTTGTCCACCAATGGTCCATTGCCAGCAACACAGGTCGGCGGAGCTTGTAAGTGGTCTCCTTCTTTCGCCAAAGCGTTTCGTTGCGTCGGTCCTAGTGACTCCTCCACCTGAACAGAAACCTCCTGCATCACAGTGGAAGCCGTCTGCTCTCGGTTCAGTGAAGATTTTGAGGAGAAGGACTGCTCCGGCGGTACAAAACTCGCAAAGGCACTTGGTGGCAAACGTAGAATCGTTGGCTCCTTCACGGTAGCTGGTCGATTGTCAGGTCCCGTTATGAAATCATACTTCAAGAGTTCCAACCGGGGCGCAATGGGAACTGAGGCGGATTGCGACCGAAGCAGTGGGATCTCCGGAGGCTTCTTTGTCGTGTCCGGTATGCGACAGCCAGCAACGGAGTTCAGACAATGGATTTGCTGGGGTGAGAGCAGCCGGGGAAGTTGGAATGCGGTGGAGTTCGACAGAGAAGTCAGATCGGGCGGTCGCAAGACTTTGAAGCTAGATCTCCATTGGCAGGATTCTACCTCACGTGGCAATGATATGAGTCGCTGGAACGGTGCACAAGTCCCTCCATCTACTTCTCCTTCAAATCGATTAATGAGGGGATGCAAAAGCTTTGGCACAGGAACTCCGGTCGTCATATTCAGTTTCCTTTCAAGCAAATAATAAAAAGCGCTCATGTTTGTAGTTAACGAAGGCCTCTTAAGCAATGAGTTTGAACTTAGAGTCGATATGGATAAACAAAAAATTAGCTTTTGCAGACTCTCAACGTTTAAAAAATAAACGAGGCGAACATTTTTTATGCCACTAAATTTGACAATACAGTCAATCAAGTGACAGATATTGAATGAGCTGGTACATACCAGCTAACCCAGCTTTCTCATTCCCGTTTTAAAATTCAGACGAATTGTATTCTTAATTTAAAAAAAATCTAGTGAGTATTATGCATTTAAATTTTTGTTTCCTTTCATGGAATAGATTTAGGTCAATCAAAAAATTACAGCAGACCTAAAGCTCTTTGTTTTGTCTCTCAACGTTATTTTTCTGGGAGTAAAGACGATTAGTTTAGATCCATGAATTGGAAAAGGGGATGATTAGCAAAATAAAGCGTATTTAGGGCTTGGAACAAAAGATTTAAATTTGTCAGGCTCCAAAATATCTAAGGAGAAAATTATCCAGAACGGTCTGTTGGTATTCTTCGAGCGAAATTTCCACGCAGTAAAGAACGGGATCCAGGCAGAAAATAACAGTCAGGGCTTCATATTTACCTTTTTCGATCACGTTTTAAAAACTACAGAAGATCAGAAGTATTAGGATGAAGGAAGAAGCAGCGATAAAAATAAATACGAATTTCTCATTTTTTGTCGTAGGCCAGCCATACTAAATCCTAAATTTGAACGGTCTACGTTTTGGAGTCGGATTCCTCTTTGTGTTTGAGCAATGGGACGAGCGTGTCCCCCAACAGGACGGGTGGATAATCTTTAAACACCAGTTGATTATTTTCTATTGCCAGCGAAATAACAGACTGCCTGTAGTTTAATCGTAGACTGTTGAAACTGAAGTTCAGTGTTCACAGAGGCTCGACCAGAATCCAATTTTTTGAAAGTTGGCGTTTGGTATGGCTAGTAATGAAGGGCTCATGAGTCATAAATTTTCGTTGGCAATCCCACTTGTGTCAGTAATGTGACTGTATAAGATGCATTCTGTTGAACTCTAAAGACTTAGCATGACCAGAACATCCACCTTTAATCGCTGAACCTCCTTTCCAGAATGAAACAACGCAGTTTACGAAGCAGCTATGGCGGAGTAATAATTGAAACCGGCACAAAATGTAAAATGTGAAGTGTTACAGATTCACGGAAAAAACGTCAAATGTGACAAGAATGTAAACAACCACCTGCCATTTACTATCTCGACAAAACGGCGACATATGCAAACGACTATTTTTCTACATTCTTAGCCCAGACCATATGCTGAGCAGACATACGCGTTCCTCACGAGCTCAAGCAGGCTGTCTACTGTCCGTGTTAAAAGTGCAAGGCCTTATGTGTCATAACATATTCGGGTGTTTGCTCAACAACAATAGCCAACGCCCGTTCTATGGAAGCATTCACAAAAAAGAATTATTTATTTCCTGAGGGTTATGTGCTTTTAACGTTGCGAACGCTTGACTTCCTTAAAACACATAATTCCTTTAATTAATGCTTTTGTTATATTGCATAATAAGTTACATTCGGTGTCTGCAT